TCTGTACTTATAAACTATCCCCTACTCACTTATCCATTTCTGCTGTGTCATTTTGATCTTACCAAAAACATGGATCAGAATGAGGAGGCCGATCATTTTAGATGTTTACATTATTTATCCAAACCTAACTTAGGAAGAACAACCAGTCTTAAAAGTTATCTTAAGGCATAAATGTCTATTTTATGTCTTATACTCTTAAGAGCTTCAAAAGGAAGTGGAGGGCTCTACTATTTGAAATAAATCTAGTATATAATATGTGCACAGAACTAATAAATATGACTTTTCTATATGTCCTACTTACTAGAAGTCAACAATTGGGCAGTTTAGACGTACTACAATTAAATTACACATTTGTTTCTCAGTTTTCCCCTGGAAGAATCATATTGGGGCAATAGGACATCAGAGAGGAGAAAAAATATGGGAGTCAGTTTTCAGAAATATGTTTTATTTTTTAAGAAAAATCTGAAGATGAAAGTTGGGAAAGCAATAAAGTAACCTTTAATGCAAAATTTCTATACTATACCTACAAAAGTGAGGTAGAAGGGTGTCATGTTGTTTATTTTAACTCTTTTCAACTTATGCTTTGAAAACAGGAAACTTCAAAGTTTGATCATTTCACAAACACCTCTAAGCATTCACTGTGATTACTCGGAAATTGTTCTTGTTCTAGTTATAAACCTTTAGGAAATGTGGCAATTCTAGTTCTTTATGCTCTGCCTCTCCCAAATATGAATGTGGCCTGCCTTTATGAAGTGACATGTTTTATTGAGCTATTTTTGCAATGTTTGGATAAAAACTAAATCTCTGGCACTTGACTAGGAATAGAAAGCAGTATTTTCTTATAAGGTTCAGTCAGGAATGAGAGAAAATAACTAAATATAACAGAATTCATACACCAGTGAATTATGGTTTGTGCATATAACACCTCTATGTCAGTGACAACAGAATCAAAGATATCTTTGCAATGGCATATGTATTGTACATTTACACATTGAATATGTAGAGGAGGGATTGTCATTTTAGTATCTGTTCAGTTTTTTTAGATTTCCAGTTGGGAAAATATACTTATGATATGACAAAGAAAAGATATTAATAACCCTAGTAAACCTTTGCACTCTTAGTTATGAAGCACTCACCGTTTGATAATATACGTAATTTGAGAAAATCAAAGTAGATAAAATCTCCATACCATTAAGTCCTAGAGCTGTTCAAATTGTTTTGCTCTGGAATTTTATTTCAAAGTATATGGTTTCAATAATTTGGGCATCAGAAAAGCATTGGGAAATGCTTTAGTTTTAGGTGTGTACTGCAGCAACATGATTTTTTATAACAGGGTACAATATCTGGTTAATCCATTAACACAAACATACCGAACATCTACTCAACAGTTTCCATTTCAATCCATTGATATGTGTGGAAGGATTGGTGCTAAAACCTCGGGACATACAGACAATGGGGTATAAGGCAGCTGGGAATGCAGTGGTGGTGTCTGGCCCCTTCCTGACTAGTGATGTAGGGAATGAACTTATGTGGGAAAACACTAAAAGGAGCAGTAAGCATAACTGTATAGATGAGATGCTCTGAGGGCAATAGGGATGAGCAGTTCTATATCAATACCCAGGGAATAAGATATTTGTTATTCTGCAAACCCTATAGGAGGTTATTCCACTTCAATATTTGGGGTACCTGTGACCACATTAGGACAGTGCTCTTAACATTGACCATGGCAAATTTATATAGAACATTAATTGCAATCATGAGATTCCTTTAGTAGTGTATCATGTGATGACCCTGAAAACAGAATGGGAATGGAATAAGTGGCAGGCACTGTGAGGAGGCGGTGATCAAAGTCAGTTTCATGAGATGTGTGAACACCCTCTTAGGACTATCTGAGTAATGGGGCAACCATTTATTACTCAGTTTTAATAAGTGAGCAGCCCACTCTGGGGATGGGCTCTTTCTTGTTCAACATCTGTTCCTTTCCTTACCTTCACAATGGCATCCTTTGCAAGGATGCTGAATTGTCCTGATTCAAACATTGATTGCCAGTGTCTGGAGACCTAAAAATCCAGGTCCTAAAGTCAGGTCCAACACATTCTGTAACTTAAGGAAACAATTCTTGGGTTAAGAGCAGGACTCAAGTTTTAGAGTGCTTATCAAGCAAGCACAAGGCTCTGAATTCAAACCCCAGTACCACAAAAACAAAAAGAAAACAATTATTGATTAAGACAGGTGTTTGTTTCAAATTCAGTCATCTATTCAGAGCTCATGTTCACTTAGTATACTATAGACTACCTCACCATATTCTCAGTAAGTTCTGGGGTAAAGTCTCAAAGATAGTGCTGTGAGAGCCAAGTAGTTGGGATGCCTGTAGTCCTAGCTACTGGGGGTGCAGTGGGACAGAGGGATCCCTGGAACCCATCACTCAGACATCAACCTGAGCAGCAGAGTGAGACCCTATCTTGAAAGAAAAAAATACAATAAAAGAAAGTGGAGCAAGTTAGGTTTTTTATTCCTTAACAGTGTGAGAGTGATTCATTTATTGGATAAGGTCTGAACTGAGGGTAAAAGTGGGAGCAAGAATTAAAACGAAAAGTTTTATTGTAATGTGATCTCTCTAGTATTCATGAATGGAAAAATATAGCCTGTATGACTCCACTTTTTATTGCTATAACAAAACACTTGAGGCAGAATACTTTATAAAGAAAAGCTTATTTAGCTCACAATTAGGGAGGCTGAGAGTTCGAGATTGAGCAGTCTCACTGGGTTTTGCCTCTGGTGGTGGCCTCACAAGTAACAATCCTTACTGTGTCAGGATTGGGAGTGGAAGGGGGCAATCACAAGCCAAAATAGGAAGACAGAGAGCCTGGGGTCCCACAGTCCCTTCTGAGATCACACCTCACTGATAGTAGGCTTCCCAATATGCTCCAGCTCAGAATGTTTCCAAATGGAGGACCAAACTTCCCAGACGTGGCCTTGGGACAGACACCATCATCTCTGTTACTACCATATGTGTGTTTTTAATGTTGTAGAAATGCAAGCGACACAAAAAAGTTCATGATAAGTTTGTTTTTGTTTCTGTAATGATTTGTTGTTCCAAATAAAATACTTTCTTTAATTCATAATGGGAAAATAATTCTCCTTAACCTGTAAACTGCCAATGTTTTGTATGGTAATGAGCAGGATTTTTTTTCTCATTTTCAAAGCTAGACAAAACTTCTGTTCTCTTCCTGGCCAGTGCAGAAATTGAAGCTTTTGGAAGTCAAGGACTTCACATAAAGTCATGTTCACATAGGTGTGTTACACTGAAAAACTGGGCCACTAAACATGGTGACCTGGAATGAAAGCCCTACTTCCTCTAAAACAACAAGCCTCTGCCTATGAACTATTTCAGATCACATTGTAAAGTATAAAACTCATAAAGCTGAACCTTCTTACAAACTTCACAATAAACTCCATTGATTAAAAATTCAGAAAAAAATTAGGAAACAAAAAAACTGCTGTTACTCCCCACACAAATCTGAGAAATCTGCCTACAGAATACCATGCAGGGCAAACACACTTTTCTGTTGGCATAATTTTCTAGTAAAAGTTGTGAGTCTGAGTATATTAATTTCTCAGTCTGCACTTTGCTTTCTGCATCCTGATAAATATTAGACACACGATCAAACCTAGTACTGTGCAGAATTTTGCTATGCTAAGCAGGCATGAAAGTTGAGAGTCTCCTAAATATTAATCACAGCCTAATGAACAGTGAATATCAATCTTTACTGGGGGAAATTTTGAATTACAGGTGCCACTTCCTAACCAATAAATCAGTGATGAACAAAGCAGCATCCTCAGGCATCCACTTCGGCAGCTCAAACTCTTGTCCTAACAGAGCTGCCTTGGAGGGTCCAAAACAGATGCATTTTATCACCTTATGTGAAGCATCTGCATTTTTAACTGGACCATTTTTTAAATTTTTAATTACTTGCAAAAGAGGTAATTTTACCTCAGAACACCTGAGCACATTCTTTATATCAGAGTTAAAGTAGTTTAGGACTACAGTGAACTTGTCTTATTCTTTCTCATTAACATTTGAAATTCATTGCCCAAAGGGATTAGAAGACTCAAGGTTAAAGAAGGGCTGAAATGCCAAAACTTGATTGGCTTATTGCTTTTATTAAATGAGCCTATTACTGCTTTTCCTTGGAGCTCATGTACAATTTATATCAGAAAAATTGTATGTTCTATCATAATTCATAATTTCATAAATAATACTGATGCATCTACACATGACATACTCTTAATAATTATCCATTAATGGAAAGCCATCGCTATTTCTTTGACAATAGATCAGTTAACTATTTATTAACACAGGTCTGAGAGTAGATAGTGACACCTATGGCTTTACATTTTTGATGCTGAGAAACAAAAATGAGGGACTTAGTTGGCAGTTGGAGAGTTTTATATTCTTTAGTGCTGGGAAAGGATTTAAAACCTACAATGTATTTCTGCACTAGGCATTAATATTTTAGTGCGAATATTTAGAAGTGATTGTTAGCAATATGGATGTTCCTTTATACCTTCAGGATTAAAGTTTTATCATAATAGATATAGTGTAAGCTGTATTTACTGAAAGATCATGTGCTATCGACTCAAAACAGAAAAAGAACTAGAAACTAAGTCTGAATCAGTGGGTATCATCCAGAAGTGCAGTAGAAATATGACCCACAATTACCGTTTCAAATACGTGGAAAATTTAAGTTACTAAATTAGATCATACATAGCAAGACAGAATAGTATAATTAAACATTAATCACTAATAGTTTATTACAAATCTTATCACTCAAAATTTCTAGATTTGTAAAAGGTGAAGGAGAGTTGTGTTGATCTTCAATGTTTTCCCAGTGCCTTGTTCAATAAATATTGAAGAAAGATTCTTGAAAGAGTATCCATACACTGAAGATTTTCTTCAATATAAAAGAACTTTGACTCTCTCTAGTGACAACCGTATCATGACAAATGTTCAAGGACAGTTAAAACTTCATGCAATGTAATAAAAATGAAAGCAGTTGTAGTTTTCTGTCTGTCAGTAAGTGTTTGTACATGGGCACTCTCACACACAGTCACAACATAAGACCAATTATCTGAGAATGTTTTCTTAATTTTTATGATATTTAATGCACAAGTTCATTTTTTGTGCTTGCTGAAGACTTATATTTGAAATTTTAAGGAAATATATCTCTAAATGTGTTATGTGTGGAAATGATCTCTTTTACATACATGAACTCCATGTGATTATTACCATACAGAAAATAAATCACAGGTGACAATAACACAATTGGCTCTCTTTAAAGGATTTATTTTGATTTGTTTTGGTTTGCCTTAATATTCATAATATGTTCATCTTATTTTTTCACTTATTAACGCAGTCAATAAGCACTATTTCTCTGACATTAGTTCGATGAACTTTTGAGATTATCAAGAGCAATGCAATCAATATTATTCATCCTCAAATATTCATTTTAAATGTAACTTTAATAGTTTTCCTCTCTCCATCTCCCTTCTTTCTTCCCTCCCTCTTGGCTTTTGAGACAACATCTTGTTATGTAGCTCATCCTGCCCAGAACCCGAATCTTCCGGCCTCCTGAGAGTTGGAGTCACAGGCATTCGCCACTACGCCCTACTTCATTTTCTTTTATTTAACTTGGATTGTTTTTGCTGTAGGTCAGAATTTTAAAATGTGTACAGTTGCCGCTGGACTTCTGAAGATTTCTAGCCAACATTCAGGACTGAAAATCAGCTGAATTAATTCTTTAATTGTTAAAGAAAATTAAATTCTCTTTAATAAAAATACAATAAATCTCTAAAATTCTTCACTATTCAATGTAAGATAACCAATGCAATGAAGGTTTGACATTAAAAGTGATAACAGTATAAGTGTGGCACAGCTGAAAAATGAAATGTGTGTTTAAAGCTTATGATAAATGTTAAAATCCAAAAGGTAGTGAAGTTCTAACATAGAACTCTAATAGTTCTATACCAAAATTTTAAAAATAATAATTTGCCTGTATTAAGATAGTCATTTGCTGTACATTAAAATGAGAAAGGTGTGGTTAATTATCTAAATAGTGATATGTGTCATTTATTTACTAGTCAAAAGACAATAGACAATATAAAAAGTAAATGAGCTGGGGGTTTAGCTTAGTGATAGGACAATTGTGTAGCATGTGTGAGACTGAGTTCCATTGCCGGTACCACAAAATATTTAAGTGAAATGTATGAAACTAATGCATATTGTTTATATATATGTAGATATAGATGCATTTTTTTCAAGCCTTTTATTCTTGCTGGGTTGACAAAGTTTATTCAGTACCAGAAATTTTTGAGATATACAAAGTAATGGTTAATTTTTCCCTTTCATCTTAAAACCAAAAGTTGTTCTACAAATTAATTAGATTTATTGCTTTAAATTATTTTGCTGCCAGAGCATGAGTTGGACATAAAACAAAGAATGCCCTAGAGAAAAGAGGAAAGTCGCACATTTTGGGGATTAATTCTAACACGATGGTGACAGTACTTGTTTCTTGGGATGGCCTTTTCATGTCCATAATGCATTTTTGTCTGGTAAGTACTCTATAGTTTCCTGTCTAACTTTGGTCTTCATCTTTTCAGGTTTGGATTTATTCTTCATAAAGATGAAGCTGCATTACAAAAAATTGATCTTGAAACCATGTCGTACATCAAGACGATTAACCTGAAAGCCTACAGCTGTGTCCCCCAGTCTCTGGCCTACACTCACCTAGGGGGCTACTACTTTGTTGGGTGCAAACCTGTAAGCCCGGGAGAAAGCCCACCTCAGCTCCTGGTGGATGGTGTGACCGACTCTGTCATTGGGTTCAACAATGACGTGTCAGGCACACCCTATGTCTCTCCAGATGGCCACTACCTTGTCAGTGTGAACGACGTGAAAGGGCTGGTGAGGGTGCAGTACATCACTATCAGAGGAGAGATCCAGGAGGCTTTCGACATCCACACGAACCTGCACATAGCCGACCTGGCCTTCCAGCCGTCCTTCACTGAGGCACACCAGTACAACATCTACGGCAGTTCCAGCAGGCAAACGGACGTGCTGTATGCAGAACTGTCCTCCGGGAAGGTCAAGATGATCAAGAGTCTGAAAGAGCCCCTCAAGGTAGAAGAGTGGCCCTGGAGCCGCAAGAACAGGCGAATCCAGGGAAGTGGCTTGTTTGGTCAGTACTTGATGACACCCTCCAAGGACTCCCTCTTCATACTGGATGGTAGACTCAACAAGCTGAACTGCGAGATCACCGATGTGGAGAGGGGCAACACCGTGGTTTGGGTTGGGGACGCCTGAAGAGTCCTATCCTGTAGTCACTGAAGGAATAGTTTTACAGTACTTTGTCCTTAACTCATTGTTTAAATTACACTTAATTTTCAAAGTTTATATCCTAGTCAAACATAATTTACTTGGTTGGCCTAAATAAAACAGTTGTTTTTGACAAAGACATACACAGTAATATTGATCAGAAAAATTTAACACAATGTTCATTAAGAAATTGCATCAATCACTGGAATCAAATGTATAATTATGCTTTCAACCAATAATACAATAAGATTTTCAATTCTTTAAAAAATTACTAAACTGCAGGGAACTTCAGATGACTTAAGAAGCATCATTTCATTTTGAGGGTATTTTATCTAATTGTTTTCTCTGTCTTTTTGCTATGCCTAAACCAGAAATAAAAGGTGACATAGAACCTTAAAATTCTTAGTTCAAAATATTCTGTCCAGTCCACTGTTTATAATCTTTTGTGCCTTGAAGGGAAAGTCATAGGAGGAAAAGGAAGGCTAAAGGCTGTGTAGGAACATACTCATAACCAGAAATCTGTTGTCATTAAGGAACATTGAGTATCTTTTTCCACAACCCCTGCCTTCAGTCATTTGCTTGACTTCAGTGAAATACTATTTGAAGGCATAATTTGGTCCCAGGTTGTATGCAGGTGAAAAACTCTACTGTACAATGTGTAGCCTGCTATAGAAAATGAAGAAAAAGGAGGAGGAAAAATGATTATGATAAAAATGTCTGCAATGTATTATCTACTAATTTGCTTTCATATCACTAGAGTGCATTGTATTTCTAATTCAAATTTGTCTAGGATTTCAACTGCTTACAAATGTTCATTTCATTATTAGCAGGTTGGATTCTTTCTTTTATGTAGCCCAGTGTTGCATAATCAAGAATTTTTAATTCTAAAAAGAAGCATTTCTTGCGTCTGCTTAGAGTGAACCATAGGTAGGGAAATTAACAGGAGGGAGCAAAAACTGACCATCATTGCTGAGGCTCGGGGGCTGAGAGAGAGAGAGAGAGAGAGAGAGAGAGAGAG